ATCGTCATACTGAGTTAAAGGTCACGTCAAGATTAAAAAGACACCACCACACACCATCATATATTTATTGGAGAGCTTGTTGCTATCTAATTCTACCAATTTTGTTCTCTAGACCCTGACGTCATCTGCCTTCACTTACTCTCCCTCCGACAGTTGCGGCTGCTAAAACTTCTACTGATGCCATAATAAAGCTTAATGAATTTTTTCATGCCACAATGTACACTGGAAGGACTCTGTTGGCCTGTATTCCAGTGTCTGTTTTATGGACTGGTCTTGGTCTTGCAGAAGGCGACTAATGTGCCACCGAATGATCGATACCACCCACAATTTCCTTGCATCTTTGTCTTTCTTTTCGTTGCATCGGTTGCATGGCAACATTGCCTCTTTTTAGACTGATTTAGTCTGCTCTCTGTCCTCTTTCTTGATTTTGGCTTCTCTGTCCTTGGTCTGCCCTACTTGCCGGGCTACTGCCTTTCATTATTCTTCTCACTTTATAGGGGTTTTGCCAATATTGTAGTTTGAAGATGCCAAAAAATCATACCGGAATAGTTGTAACAAAATGTGGCTTAAAGTTGGATTTAAAAGTCATTTAATTTTTAACCAAATTAAACCAAAAACGTACTGGCCTCTTTCTGACTTTTCGCTCTTTTTGAATTAAGTTTGCTAAATAAGCAGCCTCGGTATGTTGACGTTGTCGAAGGTTATATACTTACAGGTACATTGCTTCTTAACAACCTTTAATTATATTTCAGTATTCCCACCGGGGTTGACAGAGACGATTTATTGGAGGATCCGACTCGCATTGTGGTGTTTGCATTGGCCATATGCTCAGGAGGCTCTACATTGTGGTTTGCTTGCATGTATTTGCACTAATACAGGTAGAGTATTTGTGTGGTATTTGTGGTGTGTGCATGTGTGGTGAAGGTGACAAGTTGTTTTTAGGGTGGAAGTGACGCCCTCTGATGGTAGCCCCTCTCCCGGCTGGCACCAGGAGCGAAAAAGGCACCCCCCCCCCCCCCCCCCCCCCCCCCCCCCCCCCCCTCCCCCCCCCCCCCCTTGACAAGACTGGCATCAATTTACATAGTGAGGAGAGAGGAAGAAAATTGGTGTGTGTGTGTGTGGTGTGTGTGGTGTGTAGTGTGTGTGGTGTGTGTTGTTGGTGGTGGGTGGGTTGTGGGTGGGTGTGTGTGTGGAAAGATTGAGATTTTCTGTCTTGATATTATTATTTCTATTTCTATTATTAACATTCAGTGTTTCATGGCCAGCATGCAGGTCGGTCCAGCTTAATAGTAGAGCAAAGGCCACTAAACATGGCCAGGGTTAGGGGTTTCATTCCCACTGGAGCTGTGAGATATGAGAGCTAAAAATGTAGTGTGCGGCAAGGGGTACTGCCAAGGCTGCTTTTGGATAAAAGGATGCCACCAAAGAGCCATAATGGTTCAATGTTTATTGCCCTCTTTTAAAAATATCAAACGCCTAAAGTAGGAGGGTGGCCCTTTTGGCATAGGTTAGTAACCCTATTAAGATCAAAAGGAACATAAAAAGAACCAGAATTTTTTATTATTGAATAAGGAGGGGATTGCTCACAGTGAATATAAAACTAATGGATCCCTGCCTGGTGTTAGAGATCTGCACCTGACCTGAAACTGAGACTGTAACCAGCCCAGTACTGTGTCTTTAAGACCAGACCCGACTGAACCTGACTGTTAATGCCACATTCACATCTCAAACCCAACCTTACTCTTCATTAATAATACATTTTCTTGTTTTATTGTATTTACACACTGCCTTTTACTAGTTATTACTAAGATACATTCGTAATGGATGGAACCATGAGCTGTTGGCTGCATTATTAAACGTGTCTGGGTATGTAGCTACCAGCGGCTAACTACAATCTACAGTGAACAATGGTATTGCTACTCAGGATCGGCAGATTACCCAAAGTTACGGATATTTTAGGGGAGAAAATGTTTCTTAATGAACATTTCATTCAATAACCAAACATGAACCTGACCATAGAAGCTTTTAACAGCAACATCACCTAAACCCAAAACCTGACACAGTATTGCTACCTGGTGGATCTAAGGGTTATTACTAAGGCTCCTTCCTAGCAGTTTAATACTGCATGTGCTCTTCCCTCCATGTATACTCGGATGCTTGGATGACTCTGTTTCTTTAAATGGGATTTTTCTTTGCTTTCTGCTCGGAACGAAAAAGCCTTAGAGACTTATGGTCTTTATTAAAAGGTTGGTGTGTCACCCTATAAATGTCCCCTTATTCTCTTTTTTTCTCTTTATATTTTGTCTCTGCTTTTTTTCTTGGAGATGATTTTCTCTTTCCTTCTTTCTCTCTCTCTTTCTGCCTCATCTATCTTTCATTCTCTCCTCTTTCATTTTCTCTCCGTCCCCACCTTCTTTGTCCTTCCCCCTTTCCCTCCCATTCTCTTTACACACGCACACACACACACACACACACACACACACACACACACACACACACACACACACACACACACACACACACACACACACACACACACACACACACTCACACAACACACTCCATCTCCCTGGGGACAATTTTCTTTTCTTAAATAAACTGTCATAGCT